CCCCCCCCTTCACTACAACCCATGTCTAAGCAAAAGCTTGTCGAGGAGCGAGGGGAAGAAGGGAGAGATAGTGAGATACTGTTTAAGAGAATTCGCTCTTATACCGTAGCCAACACGATATAACAGAAAGCCGGATTTAAGAGAGTGAAATTGGCTGGTACCGACCCTCTCTTAAACCGTAGCCGCTACTACTGCTGTACAATGAAATCACACGAAAACCCTCCTCCTCTGGTCCCTCGGTTCCAACCTCGGGGACCCCCACTCTTCCGAAACGACATAGTAACGGGACTGAAGGGACCCCGACAACGAAAGGGGAGATGATAATAACACATATGTGTGTGTCATTTTATTTGACACATAGGGGATGATAACGACTGTCCCCGGGGTTTCCACAGTAGAATTACGGTTCCTATGCAGGTAGTCTGCGCGCACAAGCCCGAGACAAACTACTACGTGCGGGGGAGAGTTTTTTTAATGCCGTGTGTTACCTGACAGCTGGATGGTGTACATACAGCGCGCGCGCGTGTGCGGAGGTTGCAACACCGACGCCCCGCCATATCTTTGGTAAAGCGGTAAATCCACAGCACTCCCTGTGTAGACTATGTATGTATATGTTGTATGTGTATCCTGTGGTCATGGTCGGGCCGATCTCGCCGAGTTTGGGGCCTCGGGAGCCGAAACTTGGTTTCTGTAGGCACAGAAGGCCGTACTTTGTGATTCTTTGCCTTTCGCGACGATCAGGTGCCTGTAGTGCACCAGTCTCTACCTGTGTTATTGTGCGCGCAGACTACCTGCATAGGAACCGTAATTCTACTGTGGAAACCCCGGGGACAGTGTTATCATCCCCTATGTGTCAAATAAAATGACACACACATATGTGTTATTATCATCTCCCACAACGAAAGGGGGTGACGTTGAATCACTTCCCTCCCTACCTACTTCCCCCCCCCGCCCGCAAGCAAAAAATGGCACGACTACTAAAAATACTGGACCGGCACGCAACTATAATAGAACAAGTGCAGCAATTCTACATGTACGAAATGAAGGATGGTTCTCGGGCTGTAGTCACTACGGACATGACTTGCTTGCAGAATGCAAATGCAGCAGCAGTCCTGAATTTGCAGTCTGGCTTTAGGTTTGAGTATGCCCAAAAACTCTTTACTGACATTGGGGATGATGGAGATGAGGGGGAAGAAGTAAGTATGTCACTATTCGACAACATTCAGAATGCACTTTCGGAACTCGTGTCGGAACTGTGTGAAGATGTTGGAACAGCACCTCATGTAGTCCAGGAATGGGTTTCGGCGGTCCTGGATGCAGTTGCTGAACAACTGAATTCTGCCGTAGAGGGCCCAGATTATCTGCCGCATACTGGTCATATCGATTTCAGAGACGCTCAGCGAGTATTTAAGGTTCTTCAGAAGCAAGTAGTATTTACTAGGGTCGATAAGGCTGCAAATTGTATCTGCGTGATGTGCAAGGCTTGTTATATTAGACTAGACTAGCTGAAACGGAAGTTAATGGGGAGGGGTACGAAAAAATGACAGGGGGCACGTTTGAAGAAATTAAGGAAGCCATCACCAAACGGCAACTCAAATTTCTGGAAGACGAACATCTACCTGCCCCTTTGGAATATTTTCATGTCCCGAACACGACCAAACGCAAGTCTAGGAAAACCCAGAGACAACCTACTAGGTATTTGCTGCCGAAACTCCATAAGGATAAGGTAGCCTGTCGAAGTATAACCACATGCTATGCTACTACTACAGAAGGAGCGGGACGAATAGCACATGCATGTTTAGCTGAAATGTTACCAGTTTGTGATGCACTATGGGGAGAGGTTGGAAGCACCATCGGAATTGATTCAGATCGTTGCTGGATCACTAAAGGTGGAGACGAAATCCTGGAAGTTTTGACTGAAGCAGATCAAATAGCGCGTTCAAATGATGACTTTACTCCGCACGTTGTGGAAACATATGATTTTGTAGCCATGTATACTAACATACCTTTATCTACCCTTTTAGTCCAACTGAAAGAGTTCATTGATTTGGTGTTCGACTTCAAACTTCGGGACTCAGAGTATCGTTCAATTTCTGTCAAGTATGGTTTTAAAGAGGGTTCTCCGTTCGTAGTAAAGGAAGAAACACATTGGGACACTAAGGAGCCAGTAGATATAGATGAGGATGATAAGAAGAATAAGACATTTTTTATTGGGAAAGATCGCCTTTTTAGGTGGTTTGAGTTTGTTTTGACGGAAGGTTATGTTCAGTTTGGACCTCATATGTATCGCCAATCGTCTGGCATATTTATGGGATCCTCACCAGCACCTGACTTCGCTAATATTTTTGCTTACATGCATGAACTTCGCTTTTATAAAGAGATGGTCACAGAGTTCAAAGTGGCACAATGTAGTTATCGGGTTCCTATGTACCCCCGGGTTTTCATTGAACAATTTGGTGTCAGGACAAAACGATACATTGATGATATCATCACTATCGCTTTAGCCTCACAAGCCAATGGTTTAAAACTTGGGGATATCATATATAGTGGTGATACTCCGTACGATCCGGATGACGTGGGCATGGGTGAAACATTAGGAGGGATGTATGATAGACTGATTAGTGATGAAGATGGAAATCTCATTCCTAACAGTATTGAGTTGACCCAGGAACAAGTTGGACATGGTGCGCACTTTTTAGATATGGAAATAGTCCAGGATACAGTAGGTTCTCAAGTACGCATGTATGACAAACGAGATGCCATGGGCTCTTTGAAGTTGTACCGTAGATTTCCCCACATTGAGACTAAGATCAACTATCGTTCGAAGTATGCAGTGTTACATAGTCAATTATGTCGGTTCGCAGTTAGATGTACACGTGTTGAATATTTCGAGAGAGCGGCAGCAAAGTTGATGAGAGACATGCTAAAGCACCACTATAAGGCGGACCTCTTGGACAATAAGCTTCACAATTTTTGTCAAGTTTTCTTTAGGAAATCACGCATATATGTTAAGGATTCCTGGTGTACACAAGTCCGGAGACAATTTTGGCATAGAGTAGTGCGGGAGATTTGGTACCTTATTCATCAGGGGGGTGATTTATGAATTTATGTTACCTGTACGGACGGAAAGAGAATAGAATAGGAGCAAAATGATAGGACGTATATTGACGACAGAAGTACAGATAACCAACGATGTTGGTATCAACGCAGGTAGCCACTGTGGTATCAATTGGGATGTGAGGATTGATTTAAATGTACCGATCGAGACATGAGGATAGTTAAATGGAGCTCAATGGTTTTATGGAATTGCCTTGAGAAGGAATGAGAATGTGAAATATAAATCCATCAACATCAACGAATTTTACTCCACTCTACTAGAGAATAATGGATGATGGATGCACAGGCAACAAATTGCCCAAGTATCCATTAGCAAAGGGGAACACAGTGACCAGTGTCCTTTGTTTAAAAAACGTTCCTGAAGAAAAGGAAACAAGAAAAATCTTTCTCGACCAAATTCTTCTAATCTCACTTCAAATGACGTCATCTGACCAGGTGAAAATACACAGCCTCAACGGTCTCCAAATCTACAAAACAGCCGGTCAGGTTGAGCGCAGCACGCACACTCAGTCTGATCCCCACCGCCAGCCTCCCTTTGTATGCGGAGTAGCCGGCATTTTGGATCCCTGCCGTGGTGCCACATACATAACTCTCTCCGATAGGACTTGAGGCTTGGCGGGAAGGCTGTATCGAGTTCGCGCACTGCTGTTCTTCCACATTGACCGTAAGCCTGACATCAACTTCTTCTGCTGCACAATCGAATCCAGGTGTGTGAGTGTGCTGGTTGGACACAAAGTGTCTCTCGTCGAGTACCACACCAATAAGATCCACCACTACTGCTCAACACGAAGATGTGTACTACTCACTGATGCTGCTGCTGCCCTTGCTGAAGGATACTCTACAACATGGCTACGACACACCGGAGAAACACAGGGAAGTCTCGTGCTGCTGCTTGATGGGGCAGCCAATGATTGCATAGACCCGATGACTTGATCTATTCAAAATGTTCGCCACCACCTTTCTTTTATTGCCTCGCTCCTACTCCACCAAGACTGATTACCCTCCATTCATTTGCAAAAGCACTGCAATCTCTCCCCTCCCATGTAGTACTTATATCACAACCTCCTCTGATACATCCCGTCATTACTCGACACGCAAGGTAGCAAACATCACGTGATGGTTTTTTTAAAATATCGAAAAGAGCGGGAAAGCAACAAACAGTCGACATGTTTTGAGATTCAAATTCTGTTTGCAAACATGTACGATTGTGTATGTATGTTTGTTTTTCCTCATAATGTACGACACAGCACAAGACTTACCTCCGTTTCCTCTCTCCTACACAACCAAGTTTACTGCCCATACACACGCAAGAGCACTGCAATCACTCTCCCCCCATAATGCATACTTTTCGTCACAATCTCATTTGATGAGTCTCATTATTACTCGTCATACACGCATATCAAACAACACCATGGGTAGAGTTGAAAATCAAATTGAGCGGGAAATCAACAACCACCTGACTGACCTGTTCAGAAATTCAAAAAATATATATACAGCATCGAACGGGTAGTCTTTCTGTGTGTATATTTGTGATTCCGAATATGTACAGCAGTAGCCTTTATGAGTGTTGTTGTTGTTGTCTTCACATTAAAAACCATCCCGGTCTCTCTATCCAGTACCTCCTTCTGTCTCAATCTCTCCGTACTAATTCATCACTTGACTCGGCCAATTTCCGTGGTCACAGGCTAACGTACCTAGAAAAGGTATACCAAAATAAAATGGACCCCAAGGGTCAGCAGAGCGATAAAATACAAGAAAACAAAATATAATCAGAAACAAATAAAATAAAATAAAATAAATAATTAGACTAGTGTATATTTGTTTTTTCAAATAGGTACAACAACTACTGCTGTAATAAACAGTACTTTGTAGTAAATAGATAAACTAACGTATGTCGGTTATTGCATACTGCTGTAGCCTTTCTGCACGTATACTTGTTTTTCCTAAATACTGCTGTAAAAAGCCCCCCTCGAACGACTATGAATTTCGCTCGAACAGGGAGCTTTTATGTGTTTAACGGGTAGTCTTTCTGTGTGCATATTTGTTTTTCCTAATATATATACTAGTATGTATTTTTCTAGATTAAACCAGCAACTACTGTCAACATGACATATTGCGCCGTGTTCCCTGTGCAGGCCACATGTAAATGTACCTACGCAGATGTTTTTGTGCTAAGCACCAACTGGTATCACTGATATAAATCATCAGTGTATAGGCTTAAACAAACTCGAAATAAGTCAAGTACCCAGCTGGTTTTCCTCTACTCACTGTAAAGACTTCAACACATCCCCTTCGAGTGTAGTTATACCTCGAACGGGTAGTCTTTCTGTGTGTATATTTGTTTCTCCTAATGTACCAAGGGGAGGTGGGGGGGGGCGTACTCGTATGTTTTGCATGCCTTAAACAACATATTCGCCTGATTGAGAGCGTAGCATCTGATTGAGAGCGAGATTGCGCGATACGCTGTAGCCGGACTACCACTGAGAGGTGGAGCTTGCTGTGTAGCTTGAATTGAAGGGCTAGCCCGTAGCTTCAAGCCGCTACCCTGGTCATCCTGTGGGAGTCTCTCGTTGTGGAGCTACAGCGGGGAGCAGAAGCTACAGCAGAGCCCACCGCCCGACGCGATACCGCCCTGAAACAGTTTGAGCAGAAATAGCCAATCTGGGCAAATCTAGCAACTTGTCTAGCTCCTCGCTGCAGCATCCGATGACGATGACACGCATATGCTCGCGAAGCTGCTGATGAGACCTTCAATTTGCACCGCTTCTTGGAATAGCCCGTCCCCTACTTGCCAAGAAATGGCAAGAGGCGTCTGGACCCGAAATTTCAATTTTTTTGGCTCTCGCTCTCAATCAGATACTTCGCTCTCAATCAGGCGAATATGTTGTTCTTAGCGGTTAGACCATTGACCACGCGTCCTTGAGAGGACGGAGCATTGTTCCCACAGGACCGATCACCGATGGCCAATCGTTCCTTTCTACTTTGCCGAAGGTGGCTAAAACAAAAATGTTTTCCCTAGTCTGTCTATCCTAACAATATCTCTTCCCGCCTTTTCAACTCACCTCCTATGCCCCAGAACAGCTACCGTTCTTTCCTCTCTATTCCATGCCTCAAACATCTCCCTGTACGTCCTTTCTATTTTTCCTAGCTCAGTCACGTACACTTCCCTCTCCTTCTTGTACAACGGAGATGCGAGGCAACAACTCGCTGAATGGTAAAGATAGCCGTTTGTGGGTTGGAGCATACGACTCTTCCACGCGGTGACGCTGTTTGCGAAGTAATTCGACAGGACAAGACTACAGCACTTAATAATAGAATGAATGTTGAATTGCATGACTACTACCGCTGTTGCGTCTCGAAGTTTTCTTGCGCAAGCGGTGGGATCTCTGTGTGTGCTATGTTTTGTTTTTTTTTCCGTTTGCATTGGATCGGCGTATGTAGCAGTGTGTATGAAGCTCGGCTGAGCACAGCAGGTGGAGCCACTCTCTTGAACATGCGCCCTCGACGTGAAGGCACCTACCTGCTGCACGTACGTGCGTCCCTCCTGGTTTGTGTATAGACACACATTGCTTAGTGGTTGATTTTGGTATCATCGGTCGTTGCCTCGGTGGGTTCTACGTGTAGTAGGTTTCGTTCAGGCGACGTGTTCTTCGCTGGTCTTGAAGCGCCTGACGTCCCGCCCGCGCTAGGGCCTGGTATTTGCATTTCGCAATGGGCGCAGGCTGGAGGCATTGGAATTTGTTGGCTGGTGTAGTTTGCATGCGTGTAGTTTGCATGCGTGGAGCACGGGCGGGCGTTGTTTAGAACAAAATATGTGTGTGTGTGTGTGTACTTTTATTATTAGCATCGACCGCGCTAACCGGCTGACCAATGAAAAGACGTCAGTCTCAGTGCGGCAGGAAACACAAAATGTTTCAATAGTCCACTATCTGGGACCCCGGGACCGAGCGTCATAGGGGGAGCTACGCTATTCTCAGGATTAAAGACAGATACCACCGTAAAAATAACAGAAGAAAACTACACGTGTCTACTAAGACTGTCACCCTGCACTCGACTTCGTTTAGGAGTG